GAGCCGGGGGCGGCGCTGGCTGGCCTTGGGGTGCCGCAAGCTGCCCGCTCGTTGACGCCGGGGTTGGGCTTGGGTTTGGCAGCTACTACTTACGGAAATGTGGGAAAGGACCGAGATGAGATCCCGGTCCCCTCAGGCTAACAGGGCCCCAGGCTCTTCCCACACCTTCACAAGAGGAAATCTTGGAGATCCCTTTTCTTCAGAGGCAGCAGAACTTAGTGTGAATTTGCCTTTAGCTGGAAGGAGTGGTGCACACCTCTAATCACAGCGTTCTGGAAGGCTGAGGCAGGAGGATGGAAAGCTTCCCACTCTCAAAATAAAAAGTGAAATGGGCTGGGAATGTAGCTCTGTACGAAGTATTGAACCTGGCTTTGAGCCCTAGTTCTATGCTTTCCGGTTGGGTGAACTTGCGCAAGTTATCTAACTTCTCTGTGACTCAATCATGTATAAATGAGAGGAAGAGGATTACAGGAGTAAATACTTGCAAGCATTTAGGGCAGGAAATCATATATATGTATTCGTTAAATGATCATGGGTTTGTTGGTTTAGTTTGGTTTTGGGTAGGGTCTCTTTATATAGCTCAGTCTGGACTTAAAAACTCAGTATGTGGAGCCGGGGAGATGGCTCAGTAGAATAAGCGCTTCCTTGGCAAGTGCAAGGGTCTGAGTTCAATCCCTGGTTCCTAAAAAAAAAAACAACCTCAATATGTAATGGAATTTGTGATGATCTTTCTGCCTTGGCCTACTGAGTGCTGGGGTTACAGGCATGCTCCACCATGCCCAGTGATTTTTTTTTTTTTTAATGGTTACGTGACGATATTTTTTCCATTTAATTCTTACAACAACCCTAATTGTTAACTAAGAAAGTATTGGGAACTCTTACAAAGAACCTATTCTCAAAGGGCTTATAGTTTGCAGAGAAAGACACTAGAGTAGTAAGCTGGTAAAATAAATCCGAGATGTTACTAAGTGCTAATGCATGAAACAAATTCATGATGGAAAAGAGGGACATGGGGCTGGGGAGATGGCTCGATGGTCTGGGAACCTGCCTGGAAAGTGCAGGGACCAGGGTTCAATCCCTAGTGCCACATGCTGCATAGTCCCCAAACTGGGTGTGGTGATGCATGCCTGTAATCCCAGAGCTGCAGAGGCTGAGGCAGGAGGATCACTGAGTCCAAGCTGCGTAGTAAGACCCTCTACCAAATAAATAAATAAAATATTTTTTAAAATAAAACAAAAAAAGGAGGGACACTTTGCACATAATGGTCAGGGAAAGCCATTCTAAGGAGATTACAGGGGGACAGAGCACCAGAGGAGGAGGACCACAGGAAAATACTTTCTTAAGGAGAAGCCTGAAGACTGAAGCCAGCACCACTCTACCACTAGCTAGCTATATCTCCAGGCCTTTTTAAATTTTGAGACAAGGTCTCATTAAATTGCCCAGGTGGGACTCAAATTTATGACCCTTTTGTCTCAGCCTCCCTAAATGCTAGAATTAAGGCATGTGCCATCATGCCCAGCTAGTAAAACACTTCTGTTATACTTTAAAGATGAGAAAACAAAGGTGTGCAAACTTAAATGAACTGCATGAGGCTTACAATTAGTATCTAAGAAATGAAGCTTCAAACTTGGACACTTACACCCTTGTTCTTCCTCATCTGTTACAGGCAAGAAAGACTCCCTCTTCCTTCTCTGCTATGGTTAAAATGACCTTTCTCTAATTCTACTTCAGTCCTTCCTAGTTCCTTAAAAGACAAGCCCAGAGACACAAAAGAGAACCCACCACCTACACAAGGGGTTAAGGAAAGTACCAAAATATTTTTTTGGTATTTCCAGTCTAGTCCCAAATACTAATATGTAATTTGCATCTTACTTGACACTTGGTCTAATACTTTTAGCTTTAGAATTTTATGGGACTGTCACCACCCCTAAGGCTTCTAGGCAAGGAGTAATCACCCCAGTTTATGGATGAGCTGAAGCACAAATTGATAAGGTCTTGACTGACATACATCAACTCATTTAAATGACTTGGTTCTCAACTTCCTAAATTTTCAATAAAGGAGGGCAGTGAAATGATTACCATTACTCAGAAGCAAATATTTGAGGAAATCAATTTGTCACTGGGTAAAATCTTTTAAAAAAAATTGTACTTTTAAACTTTCTCTTATTTATTGATTGATTTTTATTTATTTATTTTGGGGCAGAACCAGGGATTGAACTCAGGCCCTTGTGCTTGCCAAGGAAGCACTTATTCCACTAAGCCATCTCCCTGGCCCTACTGATTGATTTTTAAATATGGTCTCACCATGTAGTCCAGACTAGCCTTGATCCGCCTCCCTCAGGCATAGAAGTGCTGGAATTACAGGCATGGACTACCATGTCTGGCTTCATTTTATGATTTTTAATACAAATCAATTAATATCTACTTTATTTCAGCTTCTTTACTGCCAAGTCTGGGGATATGGCTGTTTCTGATTCTTTCCTCTGAGATATGACAGACAAGAGAGCTCAATTTTCTCTTCCACAGGTCTTTAACTCATAATTTTTCAATTCAGAACACTGAACCTAAGTACAGAAGAAGAGAAGTTGCTGGGAAGAAACTCATTTATTAACAAGACTGGATAACTGGACATAATCAAATGCCAAGTAGCCACGTAAATAGCACAAAAACAAATCATTATCCTTATTCCACAAACATGAAGATTAGGAAACTTACTTTTACTAAGTATGAGTAAAATGAACAGGTTATCCATAACTAAGATATAGTTTAGATATTTTAAAGCTTTTTTTTTAACCAAATATTATAATGTATTTGGATTCATCACTGTCTCCTTGAAAGGGTCAGTGTACCCTGCTTAGTTTGCACACCTATAATCTCAGCACTTGGGGAGGCTGCGGCAAGAGGATAGCTCAGAATTTGAGGCCACCCTATGCTACAAAGTGAGTTCAAGGCCAGCCTGAACTCTATAGTGAAACCCTGTCTCAAAAAGACAAAAGAGTATTTAGACTTCTCATTAGCTTTTCACTT